TTAATTCGTTGTACTTCACTGTGCAATGACAATAAAACTTATTCTGATTCGGATTATTTTGTATGCTACAAGAATAAAGTCAGAATATATACAATTCACGTTTTATTAAGGGTGCCAACAGATTGGAGCACCTTTTTTTCTACTATATTCACAGATGGAATATAGTAGCACGGTGCCGCAGTTGATAGAGCTGCTGGCTCTCAGTGAGCAGGTTACCTTGTTTCAAATGCTGGTCCGGGGACCTTTCTGGGTGGAGTTTGCATGTTCTCTCCGTGCATGCATGGACTTTCTCTGGGTGCTGTTCTCCGGTTTCCCCCCACAGACCAAAAACATGCACTTTAGGCTAAATGGTGACTTTAAATTGTCCCTAGGTGTGAGTGAGAGAGTGAATGATTGTTTGTCTCTATGTGTCCCTGTGATGGACTAGAGACCTGTCCAGGGTACATCCCGCCTCTCGCACAGTGATAGCTGGACATAGACACCAGTGACCCTAAGAGGAAAAAGTGGGTAAAGATAATAGATGGATGAATATTCACAGATTTTGTCCTTTGTCGTGCCATGCAGCGCTGACAAAAACATTCAAATTATAGCTTAAAACATGTGGCTTGATTGAGAATAGTGTCATTTGGTTACAGTACATCGTATGATGTGAACAAAATTCACCTAAAAACTCTAAATAATTTCTTCATGCACAACAAATGTGGGAAAACCCAGGCCTGTTTTGGGCTCTGTAGGTCAGGTTTGCTTCACAGTAGAAACATGATTTAGAGTTTAAATGGTTCAGAGAATGTTGGACGTTGAACTGGAGTTGTAATATTTATAATATATGATTTTTGCACACACACAAAGCAAAACAATTTTATGATTTCTTGAGTTTTTTTACTTACATGATGATGTCAGATGCTCTGACTTTGAATGATTTTAAATATGCAAAAATTTTACTTACAAAATTTTTACTCCCTAAACATATGTACAAATACATTCAAATGTTGCTGGCTTTTAATGTAGCACAAGTGTTGACATTTTTGCATTAGGCAAAACAAAATTTGTTGTTTTTAAATTTGTTATATATTATATTAATTAGATTTTGATTAGAAATATTGGCATTTTTGTCTTTGTTTACCCAATGTGTGTTTCTCTCTGCTGTAGATTTTTTTTCCCACAAATCCCTTCAGCAAGTTCAGAGTGAACAGTCATGCATGCATAAACCTTAGCTACATTTTAGCTCCAAATATTCTCTTTAAAAGTCCTCAGTGTGATCTCAGCAGAAGTAAGGATGATATTCAGGAGGATTAATCTTCACAAAGCCACTGACCCAGACAACATCCCGGGGAAGGTGCTGAAAGAATGTGCTGATCAGCTCTGCGAGGTGCTGGCCGATATCTTTGAATCCTCACTCACCCTGGCAACTGTTCCCACCTGCCTGAAGACTGCCACCATCATCCCAGTTCCTAAGAGCTCTGCAGTGACTGCTTTGAATGACTATCAACCAGTAGCCCTCACCCCGATAGTTGCTAAATGCTTTGAAAGAGTGGTCATGACCCACATCAGAACTACCATCGACATCAGCGAGGACCCTCACCAGTACGCATACTGTGAGAATCGATCAACAGAGGACACCATCCCCTTTGTGGTCCACACTGCTCTCACCCACCTGGAGCAGAAGACTCCTATGACCTTATACTCTTTGGGGACTTCACAACACCACATCTTTCAACACCATGACTCCCCAGACCCCGATGGACAAACTACTCACACTAGGACTAAGCCCCCCTCTATGGATTTCCTAACCAACAGGCCACAGTCTGTGAGGATCCACATCTTCTCTTTCTCCACCATAACCCTCAGCACTGGCTCCCTCTGGGCTGTGTGTTGAGCCCACTCCTGTTCACTCTGGTCACATATAATTGTGCAGTAAAGTTTGCAGATGATACAGCGGTGGTGGGATGCATCACAAACAATGAGTCCAGCTACAGGCAGGAAGTGGGACATATGAAGAGCTGGTGCAGGAAGAAAAATGTCCACATCAATGTGAAGAAGACAAAGGAGATAGTTGTGGATTTTAGAAAGAACAAATACACCTACCCACCCACCCCTGTTCATAGGATCTGTGGTGGAAGTGACCTCCAGCTACAAGTATTTGGGTGTACACCTGAATGACAACCTCAGCTGGAGCAACAACACCACCAGCCTGATCAAGAAAGCTCATCAGAGACTCTACTTCCTCAGGCGACTGAGACGAGCTGGACTGGGAAGCTCAGTCCTCACCTCCTTCTACAGGTGTGTAGTGGAGAGCATCCTGTGCTCCAGCATCAACTTGTGGCATGGAGGCTGCACAGCTGCAGAAAGAAAAGCTTTGCAGAGAGTGGTGAAGGCTGCACAGAAGTCTGTTGGAGTCAGTCTCACCACTATCACAGACATTTACACCTCCAGATGCAGGAAGAGGGCCACCTGCATCATGAAGTACCCCACTCACCCAGCACACTCACTTTTTGCCCTGCTTCCCTCTGGCAGGAGGTTAAGGAGCATTAAGTGTAGAACCACTAGAATGAGGAACAGCTTCTACCCTGAGGCTGTTAGACTCATGAATCCCTAACCAGAAAAATCACTCTAATGCCACTTTAATTGGATATTTGACATTTTATCCATGCTGATGATTTCTTATAAGCTGCTATAATCATACCCATCTGCTCACAACAGACTCAAGTCATTATATTATTATTGTTTAACATGTTTTTTAGATCCTGTTTCTTTTTTGTATAGCTTACATTATTGCTATGTTTTGGTGTAACTGGAACTTTGAGTACACAATTTTGTTCCAACTCATGTACCACATGTGATGTAAATGGCAATAAAGTCACCTTGAACCTTCAACCTTGAAAGTGAAAGGTCTTTTGTACTGTCTGTATCTCATAAGTATAACACTATGCAAATATAAAATTTAATGTTTTCTGTGCAGTGTTTTAAGGGCTAGGTTAGCTTTGTAGCTTCACTACAATTATATTTAAATAACGAGTTCTCTCTTTTTCGAGCTAATTACAGCCATGTGACGGAAGTAACTGTGCGTAGATGGTTTAATCAGTGACATGAGACGTTAATTTTCTTTGACCCATCAAAATAAATTGGTCATTTATTGAACAGAATCAAAATTTAACATCAAAACATTGTACACTTGATTAGACTGATCTGGTTCTGATTAATAAAACTTGGCACGTTTTACTTAATAAAAACAATAGACATTTCTGAAGGCATCTGGATTAATTACTGGCAAGATAGAAGAGTTTTAAAGATGGGAAATATGGAGGATTTTAAAGGGAGAGTGGAAAATGGAGGAAGATGTATGTCTGTGGACCAGAACAACACGCTCCTTTCAAGCGCAGCTCGCCCGCAGTCCACTTAGTGCGTGAAGCTCGTGACGACTCTTTACCTTGGTAGAGGATGGGTCTGCTACGGTCAAGAGGTCCCTGGCACACTACCTTTCAGCGTCTCCTCAGGGCGGCTGCAACTCGGCAGAAGTCGTGAGATACTTCGTTCAACAGAACAAACTTCCTCAGAAGTTGTAGGGCATTCGCCCGGGTGAAGTCACAGCGAGGCGCCGTGATCACAGCAGAGATGGATAACTCCATCAGACTGGAAAAACTGAGTCCGAAGTTCCACTCAGCAGTGGAAAAACTCCACCGGACTCCAGGAAGACTTAAGACGACTCCCGAACTCTCTAGAACAACTCCAGAACAGCTAGAACTGAAGAACAGAACTTCACTCCAGAACTACTTTAGTTCCAGGAAGTGTCGACTTTTAAAGAGTTCTGCTTCCGGTCACTTTAGTACGTCCTGATTGGTTGAAGCAACCAACAGGGGGTGGTTCTAGTGATGTCAAAGGGTCATTACAAGTCAAGAAAACAGCAGGAATGTTTTGAGACGGTTAGTTACAGACAGAGAAATGTTTTGGAGAAATGACAGACTTACAGGTGCCAGTTTTCTTATTTACTGTCTGAGAGTTTTAAAAACATGACAGCCCGTTCTAACAACTTGTTTTTGACTGTCTCCTACTTTTGACCGACATTACTACTTCTCATTTCAGACAGAAGATCAAGAATGCATAATTACTTTGTAAAATAGACATTTAACTTGATTTCTAATTTAAATGAGGATTAAAAAAATCATTAATACTGTTTCACATTTGATTTAAAATGAGTGGTTCAATTCAACATTTTAAAATGGTATGAACTAAACACACTTTAGATTTATCAAGATATTGTAAAATAGTAATGATAATATAAAAAAGAGAGTGTTCTTTCAATTGATTACTTCAGGATACAATTAGAAAGTCTCTGGATGAGCTAATTTGTATTTCTGGATTCAAATCAATGAAATAACAGTTCCTGTCCCATGAAGGTCTTCAGAGGCAGGTTTTGGTCGGAGGCCTAGTCCACTACATCTGTTACCCTCAGATTCTTCTACTGGATACAGTCCAAGAAATGAAGATTCAACCTGTAGTTTTCACACAGTGACTGTTTGTTTGAGGCTTACTTTTTAGTCGGTTTATGTCTGCCTCTCTTAAGTAGATAATGAGTGACAGACACAGTTGCAACATTACCATGGTGACCAGAATGATCCACTGGCAGCAACTTTAACATTTATTTTGATCATGTTTCTTTCTACAGTTGTTAATGCATCCAAATGTTGGCATATTTTTTGCGTAGGTTCTGTAAAACAACTATAACAGCAGCAACAACAGAACTGATGTTGGATTTTTTTATGCAGCAGCTGCACAATTTCTTCAAAATTCCCTATTTTAATATATTCTCATATTCACTTGTTAATAAATGCAGCCCGTGCACAATGCAAGAGAAAGTCTCAGTAGCAGAAGCAATGCTTACCGCAGTTACACTATGTTACTCTACGCAGAGGTCCATGCACCCTCCTCCTCCTCCTCCTCCTCCTTCTCTCCCTCGCTCTCTATCTCTTTCTCTCTCAGTCATTTTCTCCCGCCGTGGTGCTGAGCCTGCGACGTTTGGATGCAAAAAGGAAAATCTCCCTCTCTGCTCCAGCATCCTTTGGAGGGGAAATAAGTGAAGGTACTGTGTAAATAAATGCTTGTTTTCACTTTACATTTAGAAATGCTCTCAGTTTATTGTGTGTGTGTGTGTGTGTGTGTGCAGGCTTGTTGTGATAAATTGCATTCAGTGAAGGCAGGGTGAGAAAGAACCTGCCCCGACGCTCTTGGTGCAACAGAACCTCTGTTTAATACAAGCATTGACGAGTGTTGTAGGGGGTATTTTTGCAGAGTTGTCTTAATAGCAATGTGGGTAGGAATAGATTTTTAGAGCGCATGTTTTTATCTCTGCATGTAAGGCTTTCAAGCACTCGCTGGAAGTGATGAAATCATCCATTTAAAGTGGCACATGCAGCCAGGCGGGTGTTTACGCTGGGTTCTGCGGAGATTCAGGATAGCCAGGCAGAATGGAGCTGTGCGCCATGGACAGATGTGAGAGGAGGGATTTAGTATCGAGGGAGGAATCACACAGGGGATAAAAACTGGCGCTTTATGTGTGTGTGCGTGTGTGTTCAAGCCTTTTTAATGTAGGGTAAATGGTTGGGCTTTCCTGCAGCGCACGGCACTCCACCTGCAGCGAGGGCTTAAGCCACCTTTAGTTCTCATGCATGCATGAGTTATTGAGTGGATGTGATTCTGTGCAGCGCAGAGAGAGGGAGATGCCAGCAGCAGCAACAGTGTCCAACCACTGACCGATGGACCACACAGATTCCTGCACGCCCACACACTGTAGACTGCCAGAATCTAGAATAGAAGAAAAAAAAAACCCCATAGTTTTAAACATTTGGTTATATCAACCTTTGTAGACAGTAAAAACCTTTTGGATGAGTCAACATATTCATGTCCCCAAACTGATGAGGACTACAGGTTTCTTTTAGAGAATGATGCTGATTAAAAGGGAGGTTTTGGTGGGTCATGAGCTCCATATGTAAAATGGAGATGCGCTGATTGCTCGAGCATGATCTGCATGCAGAATGCAAATGCACCATGTTTAAATGCAGCACTTTCTGTTGATTTAGGTGATTAGAAAATCCAACGGTCCATCTACGTTTGTTTATGCTTCCATCCGTGCACTCGTCCAAGACGGGTGCATGGGGGGGCAAAAGCCTAAAGCATGTCCATACCTATACCACCCCTTTCTAACACCCTACTCGAATACCAAATGACCTCATCTCTTAGCTGTTCTGTTTTAAATCCTCACACTCTCAACCTTCCCCTTTTTCCTCCATTATCTCTATCTTTAGTAAAACATAGGTGGGTCAGGGCTTGTCCAGTCTACTTGTAAAGCCACCCTGTTATCCAGTCAAACAACTTCCGAGTCCACCCCCCACCCCTCAGACACACACCTTTTCCCTCTCATTTTTATTATAGGTGTGCTCTGCATTATCAAAGAGAGCTTTGCCTTTCAGCTCAGCTCTGTCTTCACCATGATGGGTCAGCACAGCATCCATATCTCTGTGGACTCTGCCTCAATCTGCCATCCCAAATTCAGTAACAGGTCTCTCTTGTAAATGAGTCCCCGAGGCTCACTGAGACTAACTTGTATAAATAAAGGTTGAATGGAAAGTAAATTGCTACCTTTCTGTGGTGTGGGTGTTCGAGTGGAGCATTTAGCCCCTGTTGAGTCTCCCAAGGGACATTAATTTTGAGGAGGCAAACAAAACAAGGTTCAACAATCCTTACAATAACTACAAGATCATGGAACCATGAATCCACACCTGGACAAGGGATACCAAGACCTCAGTCTGAAGTCAGGCTTGGGAGAAGATGCTTGTTTGTGAGCACATTTACCGTGGGGTGCAGCCCAAATGAGCTACATGGGACCTCCCCCCTCCTGTGGACCCTGCAGGATGCTGTTAGACTGCCGTGTTTTTGATTGTGCCTCAGTTGGAGACGTAGGTAGTCAAATATTCAGTGCTGACTAGCAAATATTAGTGAAATATTCAAAACACAACATGTTAGAACCATAAAGAACCGATTTCTGGAAATATTTTGTGATTTTTGTGTATATGGGGGGTAGATTCTCAGTCAGGTAATCTTAGCAATGTGCATTAAGATATATGGATTCTTTTACTTCTTAAATTAAGAGAAGAAAAACATTTCAGTGATCCAAAAATGAGTCAATTTGCCTTTGATTCAACTCACTGATTGTACCTAAGTTCATATGTCCATGCGCATGGCTGCTTAGTCTGTATGTCTAATAGTTAATCCATCTAACTGGCTAAAAATGACAGTGAAACGGTAAGTGGATTCTCTTTTATGCTGTCCTATAAATTAGCCGTTACTACAATTGGAAACCCTCTCTGGTTTCCATCCATGTCATTCACATCTGAGCTTGACCTCAGTCATCCCCAGCTGCGCCCACTTAAATTAAATAAAATGCATATGGGTTTCCTGTCAAACTTCACTGTCCTATAATTTTCCTGTTTTATTGCACCCATTTGACTTCCACATTATACTTCATTCTCCCTTCATTTGTGTCATGACTCTTGATGTGGCCCCTGGAGGAATGACGAGCAGTCTCCAATCAATTGCAATCACATATCAGCGTTGAGGAAGAAGAAGAGAGGCAATCAGTGTGGAATGGAGGTTCAGGAGACCAAAATAACGACCACCTACCAACCAACCAAAGCAACCGCCTTGTTGCTGTGTAATTTTCACTTTATCAGAACTCCATCGAACTGCGTGAGCCATAATTTAGGGAATCCATAGTTCTGTCTGTTGGCGATGATCTCGAGAGGTGATGGATGTCACACTGGTAGAAACCTGAAGGAGCAATTTTCTTCCTGCCTGCTTGTGTTTGCGAGAAAACAATAAAAGATGATGCGGTGGAGTTCAATGTACATAAAAGAGGAAAATGATAACAGTATGACCAGCGTAGAGCCAGATGGTTCAAAGCTTTTGCATTTGAAAAGTTAATGACAATAGCCGATGGTGCACAGCTCTGAAACCTACACACATTTAGTACAACTGACCCAATTAATTCACCTTTGATCCTGGTAGTTGATGGGCCCGGGATTTAAATTGGATGCAGAAATGACATGCTGTCACAGGAACTGCCTACGGGGTCAGACTTTATCAGATACGGCAGTAAAGATGGATTTTTGACTCATTTATATGCTGCAGATTGCATCTGTTTACTCAGAACTGCTGTGTGGCAGCAGAAATGTGAAGATTATTTAAAAAACACACATACACACAGAAAATGAAAGAGTGATGCAACAGCCATGGAGTGTAACGTGTGTTTTTGATTACTGATGGAAAACAGATGGTGGGGAGGGTTAGGTGGCTAAGCTGACCACGCTTTAAATCACACGCTGCCTCCATCTCACTGTTAACAAGCAACTGCACTGTACTGAAAAAAAACATACAATTTGCAATGTTCAAAAAAGGAAGATGGACATTTTGAACTAACAAGTGGAATGGCAAAAACAAAACAAATATATATATAAAAAAAAAGTAAATTGATTTTCAAGGATTTGTCAATTTGGCCCTTTTAAGAAACGAGGAGTGTTTTGCTATCATGCATATTTAAAACCCCTCATGCATCATTCATCTTTTGAATTTTTCATCTACACATAACACACAAATTAAAAGCATCTGTTTGTGCCTCTTTCAGCGTAAGTTCATTTGATGTTCGATTTAACGAGTGTACATTTTGAGCTCTAAATTTTCTCAGTCTACGTTGTTCAGGACCTTCAGCTTGCATGTGCATAAGCTGGCAGTGTTAGACCTGTAGTGGTACCCTGCCTGCTCCACCCCTCCTGGCATCAGTTTCCTGGCCACGCCCTCTGAATCGACCTCAGAAATCCAACAGGAGGGATCCTGCAAAGACTCTAAGAGGGACAACCCTTGGGAGACATTGGCACTAGCTCAGTCCTTCACACATTCTCAGCTGTGGCTCGCCGGGCTCTCTTTGCCTACCAGCTGCTGCAATCAATACGACATTCATGTTTCACAACAACCACCACTCCTTCACGGCCAGGAACATGTGGAATCCCCCCTTCCCCAAGGGGAAAAAAAACCCTGCAAGAGAGGGTAGTTGCTTATTTGCTTTCAAGGTTTCAGAAACACTTTTTGAAAGAGATGTAATTTCTGAGAACAGGGGACCTCCGTTTCCTCAAGATGAAGGTGAAGAGGATGAGGTGTGAAGTGAGGACAGGGGGTCTGCACCTGGGATAGACTTGTCATTCTCGTGTTCACAAGTTCATTTTCTCAGCAAAAGATGATCTTAGTCTAACATTCTGGCATCAAAAGACGGGTAATAGGTAGTCCTTCAAAAAAAAAAAAAAAAAAATGGAGGTCTGTTAGATTGTACTAAAGTATTGTTAAACATTAAACACTAACATCTACTACATGAAGTCATGGTGTGATTGCACCACCTTACTTTTAATTGTGCAGTTCGGTAATCTGCTGTTAACAAGGGTTTCTCCTCTTTTATCCAGCAAGTTAGACATCAGGCATGTGGTCATATATTTTTGCAATCACTAACAACAGCCTGAACAGAAAAACAAACAAACAAACAAACAATAAACTAAACATGATAAAGTCCATCCATTTTTATCCCAAGATTAGCCAGTATACTTGTGGGTCACATCTCTTACTTTCAAGAACATGTAATTTCAGTAATTCACACTGAAATTTGACAATAACTCACAGAACTTATTGTTTCTGTAAAGTTTCATCATGCAATGAAACAAATACGCAACCTTAACATAGAACAGTGTCCATTTAAACCTAAATTTGATATTTAACCTTGTTTTTGTTTTTTTAGAGCAACTACAATTTCTGTGTGGGTGTTGAAATTACAGGTTGCACCTGAATGCATCACAAATCTTCACGTGGTCCAAATAAATAAATAAATAAATAAATAAAGCATTGCATGGATTTCACCATAGAGTTATACATACATAATGTCTGGATTTTGCAGGCTCAGGACCACGTGTTTTGGTCCCGCCCACTCTACATCAGCTTTCTGATTGGTTCATTTCCCCGTCAGTTATTAAACAAACTCATCCTGTC